TCTTGAGGTCGTCGGCCTCCCTGTGCTCAAATCAGTAGGCCTTTACCGACAATAGTGGGAGACCTACACGTTGATAACGAGTTGTCCATCCCCGTCAAGATCATAGCTGACTGCATCACCAACCTAGATGAGCTTCACGGACATAACCAACGAGCAAAGCTACGTACGTTCACTGCTTCGTAGGTAGATGGGTTGATGCGGTTACCGTCAGAGACCTGAGGGGCAATGAATGCCAACCTAGAATATACGTTAGCCTCAGGAGCTATACCAGATTAGAGGAAATGATATACTGATTCACATATTCTACTTGGGCTCTTTTTTTGGCTTGAGTCGAGGGACATTCTCAGCAGGTCAATAAAGCGCCGACCAAATGACACACCGTTTGCCGCGAACGGAATAACCCTGTGGAACAGTGAGTACCAAAACAGCTTCCTCAAGGCCAACTGACTTCCAAGCAACCTTCTTCTGCTTCAGCCCAATACGATCGAGAGGCTTGAAGGTAAACAGGAGGGTGCCACCTTTGGCCACGCCGCTGTCAATATCGTTCATTGCTCAATGGCAAGAAATAGTAAAGCGAGGCAGCTCACGGCGTCTTGATGATAATCACTCTCTTGAACCGATTGGACATTATGATGGAGTTGCAAAACTGCGGGCGGAAGACGTTTGAAGCACTTGCACCTGGTCAAGATTGAGAGCTGTAATCACCTTTTTACCATCAGCAGCCGACTAGTCATGGGGCAGCGGACGTTTGAAAGCTCCGGTTTGATTTGAATAGCCGCCCGATACCATCTCGAATGAGCATCACCCCGAAATTGAAGGGGACGGAAACTTTGAAAATCGAAGGAGCACTCCTGAGGAACGCACGGTGACTTAGCCTAGGAGGTTCGCAGTCAAGTCCATTCAGGAGTACTACGGGGTTGCGAGCAAATGTCTGTTGCAGTAACTTGAAATTAACCAGCTTTCTTCGTCGGGTGGGGCCTCTAGACCCCAGATTCCCTGTCATACCGTCTGCGCCTCCGGTCAAAAGTCTTGTCGAGCTGGGTGACGTTCCTGCAAGTCTGGGCCGTAACGTCTTACAGAGAACAAGCCCATCATTGAGGAGGACGTATCGAGCTGAAGTGTCAACAAGAGGACGGCAATCAATTTAGGATAGGCGAGGCCACCAACGAGCCATAATCCGGTTTATAAAATGTTGAAAAATCAAAGGATTAGAGGAAATGCTCGAACGTTCGTCGTAACGTACAAGCCGGATATACAGCTATAAATGAGATATAAGAAACGACAGTCCTCAGAGGTCACTTCCCGTAGCAGGGTAGAGGTAGGAGTCGGGAAAGATCTTTTGATTCGATCCTCGAGCCAGAAATACGGCGTAACGTACGACGTCCATGTCGCCTGCCATGCCCGCGCCACCGATGAGCATACAGAGATACGTCCGTGACCATCAACGACAACAGAGCCGAGTCACCAGGAGCGGAAAACGCCCCAAGCTTTTGGCTATAGGGGTGTATGGCGATTGCTATCGATGTCGACTTGATCCCCGTGTTCATCGTACTCGAGAGTAGCCGACTCGAGCCTGCTCCGCGGCCAGTGGTGACCCCGGTACTTGCACCGTTTTTAAGGAAAATGATTCATTCTCTCTCCTCTTTCGTCTAGCGTGGTTTGCGTATATCCTCCTCTTTTACGATGCCATCAAGGTGAAGAAGCTCGTCATGAATATATGGAGAGATGTTACGATCCTCGGGATTTGGATGTAGTTGCTGAAGAAACTCTGCGACGGAAACTTTTTCCTCTGGTCCCAGTCAGATGACATCGTACTTGGTAAATATCCTCGAAGAACGTATCGATATACAGGGCATTACCCTTGAAATCATCCCAATCGATCTTTACGCAGTCACGCTCGACCAATGCCCAGTCTTCGGTGAACTGCTTGGGGTCAGTGGCGACTGAAATAGGGGGAGCATAGACAACGTGGCCCAGCACGCGCTGTTCCACCACCGTCCAATTCTTGGTGATCTCGCTATGAAGCGCGTCTACACCGACAAGTGTCCTCTCCGCTTTATCCAACCTTTCCTTATAGGTCCTACGGCTCTTCGATACCGTGCTGACATTCTCGTCTGCAGGTGCTTCACCTAGTTGACTGAGGAGACGCTTGTAGCGCTCGAGATTGGAAACCTCGGATCCATTTTGCCAACCATGTCCCTGATAGCATTGGTACGCTTGTGGACCGAGAATAAGTACTTGGTGACGAATACGAGGACGAAGGAGGCTAGATTTGATCCTATCGAAGATATAGAGGTCATTGCGGTGCATACTGAAGGTAGAGCGACATGGCGGGCGGTCAACAGGAAACTCGGTTGCGTTCACCGCCCTCGCAAATGTACAGCGTCCCCATACCCTCTACCGGAGCTGCCTTTTTATGAGCGATCGCAATGCCTAGGACGCCGTGAAGGGGCTACGCAAATCAGCCGGGGTCGAACCATCTCTCGGTGTGATTGAGGAGCGTTGAGGGGAGAGAGGTAAAGAACGACTCCCGGAATGAGATTTCAATGTCGGAGAAGTTTGCGGCGGCGAGGATGTCTTTGCAACGGCTGCGATCTTGGCAAGCTCGACAGAGAGTGACCCAGGTAGAACGCCTATCCAGATGGAGAGAGAGTCCGCCTCCCATCTCTTCTCAGCGTCGGTAAAGCGGCCCGGATCGATCGTCGTCCACCGCACTCCGAGAGAATCAAGCAGCTTGTAGATTTTTTCACCTAGCGTAAGCCAAACCGCTTGAATGGGATGTTTGCAGACAGGTAAAACCTGTCTCGGAATGCGATATGCTTTCGGGGGAGGATTTATCGGCCATTCTGGGCCCGTGCGATGTATTGAGATGGGAAGCGATGGAAAACCAACGAAGTCTCTCCATGCTCCGGGTGACTCGTCGGTGATCTCCTCTGGCACGTCCTTTGGGATATCGGGGGATGCCACCCGTCTTCCGCGACCAACTTCGAGACATGAGCGGAAGAATTCACCATCAAGATTCACTAGAAAGATGAGAAGTGAGCAAAAGGCAACAGCAAAAGAACATTGGTACACTCACTAGTCGGCAACGGGGCAATTTGAGGGTGAGACTTTTGAAGAGACGCCAAACTTGTAAATAAACCCGATCACCGGATCAATATACATCTTGACGATACCTCGACAAGATTGACAGCAGCTCGAGCTTCGGTCAGCCGACACGACGTCACCGAAAAGTTGCAAATCTGGATAGATTTCGAGTGTAATGAACGGCTGTCATTGCACCTGCAGCGAAATTGCGAATATATGGGCGAATTTGACAACGGCGGATAGCGTGGTCGAGTTCAAGTGGCCGAGTAAGCTCTTCTGCCCGCCGGCTCGGCTCAAGGAATCAACCATTTCACCATGCATGGAGTCGACGAGGAGGAGGAAGAGTTATTGAAACAATGGCGTACGTGACTAATGATTCTCTTTCTCCTGCGCCAGGCTATACCTCCCGTTTCCCCATTGTAAAGAAGTGACCAGACGGTCTTACTATCCAACTGAGTAAGATCCTCTCCCAGATCATATTGGTTTGCACTCGCCCGAAATGACTTTCGTGCTCGATAGTCAGAGGTCATATAGGCACGCAGTACTGGGCGAAACTGGCCACAACTGCTCCGTGATGTCTACAATCTCTGTTCAATCAAGTTCATGGCCAGATCCAGAGATGTACGCAATGTTGGGAAAATGCAAAATAGGCTCGGGATCAGCCTTTGCGTCGATCTGAAGGCCTATTGGGGCATGATGACTCCATGTCACAAGGTGAGAGATAAGCATACCAAGGGCAATATCTAGAAGTTTCCAGTGTTGTTCGTTGCGGCGATAGAGCCTTTCCTCCTTGTTTTCTTCGGTATCCTATTTTTTTGGTATAAGCTTTTGCTGTCACGGGGCCATAAGAACCCCCACTTACTTTGATGATTATATTTTTATCTGAGTCAATGTCATAGATAACCGCTCCTCCAACCTATACTCTGTGAGTTTCGGACAGAGGGCAAGCCAGACATGACACACGTCGACAGTGTGGGACGAAGGTGTAATTATATTATCATCGTCGATCTGAGGAGCGATGAACGCGAGCCTATCGGATGGTCAGCGGCTGGCGACTGATACCAAATCATGACAGCATACTGGCTCACGTATTTCACTTTGGCAACATTGTTGGCTGCGATGATGTATACTCCGTCAGCTATTACACTCGACCTGCCAAGTTACGAACGAGCTTTTGAGAATGGGATGATCCTGTGGAAGATCGAATCAAGCCGTGAGATGTCAATCAATGGTACCTACTTCCACACAACTATCTTTTGCCTGATGCCAGTGTTATCAAGAGGCTTGAAGGCTAAGAGAAGAGTTCCAGCCTTGCCCAGCTCACTTGCAGACCGTCAGCGGAAACTGTCGATCAACTACGAGGCCAAAATTGGACTTACGACGATTTAATGACGAGCCTCTTCTCGTATATGGTAGTCATTTGGTTTTACTGAGATTGCAGGCGCGAGATGCGAGAGGGACACTCTGAGGGTTTTAAAGACTTTAGGTCCTACGGCGAGCAGAGCAGGTTCCGGGACGTTTGAAAGAGGTCAAAGGTAAATAGAAATTCTCGTGGCAATGAATGTCCATCCGGCATGTAGACGTCTTCGGGTGGATGGCGAGCTGGAGGACAGTCTCGACTCCAGAATTCGAGGTAAACGATGCGTGAGGATCGCTTGAGAGAGGAATTCTAGCTATTTAGGCTATCTTGGCATCATCAACACGCGTTATGCGCATGCAAAGTGCTCATGGCGGCGTCGGGAGGTTTACTGTTCACTCCGGCTTTTGACCATCTCCGCAGTCGGGACGAACCCCTTTTATGCATCGAATCATGTCATACCCGTAGTCTTATCAATCCAACCGTATAAAGTAGTACAGACAAAGGATACTTCAAGGCCTTGGTTGGAATAACAGGCTATTTCTGAGCTTCTGGCTCCATTTAAATGGGCTATACCCACGCGCTCGACCATTACAAAGTCGTCCCTAACCACATTTAGTGTCTCCCAGACAGAATACAGCTCCTGAGTTACCGAAGTCGAGGTGTAGTAGCGCGATCTTATCTGCACGTTTTTCCTCGGAAACTGAGTGAGGCTGGAAAATCTCATAAATTAAAATCGAGATTATCCTGGGTCCTTCGAGCGAGGTTTTGGAGGATGACTGAGAGAATGGCAGCGGAATGAGCCTTGTGATGGTGGCGACGGCGGCGAATGGCGTCAAGAAATTGAGTAGTTGGGTAGTCAGGCGCTTGCTGAAGCGCATCAACTATAAGGTTTTCGGCAGTGTCCAACCACTCGTACAGGGAAGATGCGGTCGGACGATGAAGAGGATCGCGACTCCAGCACAACTCGAGGATATTCCACAAGGCGTCGATACCATCGACCGAGGGTAATATGTCGGACGAGGAGAATCCGTGGTCGTTGTGATGCGTGGTCGACGGCAGGTGGCACCCGCAGCGAATGTCATGAAAAATTTGACCCCGTCGATTATCCTCACGATGAGCGTAGGGTGACAACCGAGTAGATGAACTAGTCCGGGTTAGTGCTGGTACTCGGCCGATGGAGTGCATTGAAAAAAAAGTACCTCGAATCCGATACAACCCGCAGCATATACGTCCGTAGCCGTTGTCGGTTCCGATGGATCGTTGAGATCAACTAGCTCAGGAGCAAAGGTACCGCGGTGTACCCGTATGCGGAGTCGTGGTTGATCTCACGCATCCATTCCCGACTTTCGTCACTGCTGTACCCATCGCCAGAAGAAGACGAAGAAGGTCGTCGACCACAACTCGAACCAGTCCAAGGTCGCAGATCATTGGCCGTCCATCGGCAGCGATAAGAACATTGGAGGAGCATGGAATCAGATCGTGAGATGCAAAATGTGAGGCGGCCTACGGGTTTCATGTCTCCATGAACGATTTGCGGCGAATGAGAGTAAGTAAACAAGACCACCGACCACGCCTTGCCACTACATAGGATTAGCCCACGTTCATTCCATGGCAACGTTGCTCACTAGACGGTATCTTTCCAGTGGTGAAGGGCGTGCTTGTGAAGATATTGCGCAGCATTGCCGTTTAGACACCTGTGGATACTCAATAAGAACTTTCTGTTAGAGGATTCACTCACTGGCGTAACAATGGCCCCGAATGGCCCGAACATTCGATCTTCCACGATACCATGTACCGGTAGGACGTTCGGATGTTGGAGAATCTTTCCAATCGTGACCTCGCGACGACGTCTCTGCATCCAGTTCAGATCTACTTGCAGATTCGGGACTACCTACCCTCTGAATGGAATGCCTAGGACCGACTGCCTTGATGACTTTGATGGCAACCTGTCGTTTGTTCAGTACGTTTCTATTCGACGTGGCAACACGTACGTCCTCCATCTGGTGCCCATCATCGGACACCTTGATATACCGCTGAATAAGGCCATCGTAGACTTTGCGATCGGTCAGACATGCACGATGCTCGTCAAATCCCGCCCTTGAGAGTGAAATGGGACGATTTCATCGGGATTGGGGCCGAAACATCGTGATCAAGAGCCGAGGAACGAGTGCTTGGAGCACACCGAGGAATTGAGAGGGATTGAAACGCCGGAAAAGGATGCTGGTAAAGTGACGGACGAGGATCCACTGGATATGACGAAACAGGCAAGTCAGCCTCGACCAAAGGCCAGCAACGTTGATGTTCGACGCTGAAGGTGGTGAACCTATGTGACGCGGGAATTGTGGAGTCGAGAATATCGTCAACAACGAGCCGGTTCTGAGATTGGAAATGACCGCCACAGTCGGGTTCGCGGGACTCTTGACTCTGGGTGCGATCCCATGGGTGGGAGTGGGACTAAGGAACAGGGATAGCCGTTTGGTACTCCGTGTGATCATTGATAGATGCTCGAGTAGTAATGCACCCAGTGCTGTTCAAAGGATCAGCCGTCGAAGAAGGGCGGGGAATGCTGGATGAGCTTTTCGATGAAAGCCTGCGGCGTAGCCGTTTTGGTCTCGTCGAGATGGATTGCCTATCCGTTTCCGGAGGAGGCCAGGTTGATCACCAAGGTACCCATTTCACCGACAGGTTGGGAACTTTGTCGTTGCATGACCTTGACTCGAGCTCGTAAAAGCGAAGCACCTGAGCGGATCCAGGCGAGAATACGGTTATTGCTCTCGCTCGTGGGTTTGGGGACAGATTTGGCGATTTCGTATCCTTCTTACGGCGGGCATCGACGACGGTTTCCCGTTTCGTTGAATCTCGCCTTGCTGAGACACCTTTTTGACATTGAGCTGGCGAGAGTGATCAGATATGCAACTAGTAGAGGCGTCGAAGAACAGACCGGTTGGAGAAGAGATTCCATGTAGCCTTGCTTCGGTTGGCCATGGAGAAACCGCTAGTATCACGCAAGCACTCGGACCCCGACTTTGAGCAAGAGGAGCAGTCGTCCAGAGAGTCGCACTTGACCTATATGTCGAAAGCAACGGTGGACATCGCAGAGCAACGCCTCGGAGGTGCAACGCTGGTAATCACAGACCTTGAGAGTACGAAATCTCTCGTAAGAAGAAGGATATAGACGTTGGCTGACCGGTTGAGTGGGAACAGGACCGTCCTTGCTGTCACGACGGTTGTGCGTTGGGGTAGACATGCTGATATAGTGAGTATATGTCAGCTAGAAATGAATATTTGCACATACTGGATATTGTCGACCTCAACTATATCCAACGAGCCGTCTGTTGATTGCGGGCCCGTGACATTGGGGGTCCACGAGCAGACGTGGTGAGACAGGATGCATGTATCACATCTCTGAGAGTTTGAATACGTTGTACACTTGATTTTGCTTGAGCGGCTACATGCTTCACATCAGGGCCAAGTCGACGTCGGGTCCAAGAGACTACTCACCACTCGTCACACGCACTCGACATTCTTTGCCTTGTAATGATGCTCTGAATCTTCTTGTACCACTAGGCAAATCTGCCGAAGTAGTCGCTTGCCCTGCGCGGGGACACGACGCGGCTCCGTATCAGCTATAGGTGCCTTTAAAGGCGAGAGAGAAAAGGACTTAGCCAGGTGAGTGACTGAAGCACCGCCTCCATTCAGTTTGGTCGGGGACTAACTCGCAAACGGCAGTGTTCGCCTGTATAATATTGCTTGAATAATTTGCGCCTTTCTTGCGAGCGAGATACACGTCCGATGTGGCCTTTCCATCTTCGACCGACCCATCTCATCTACACTCGCTCAGAGGCGACGCTTTGCCATTATGACGGTGGATGCTTCATTTATATTTGGATTCAACATCACCTCTGACCTCGGCGCCGCATCAAGTGTGGCATATAATCATTCGACCAGAACATGCTCGGATTTAGACTATGAGATTATATTTTACATGATTTCACCCTCCAGAATCATTCCAAGCTAGAGGCTTGCTTCTTGACCCTTTTTCTTTGTCGTCGCTCGCCATCTTCGTACTCATCGTTGTCGTCTTCCGCCTTTCGTTTCCTCCCCCTGCTCTCCGCGTCGTAATGCTCCCCTATTCGCTTTTCTATAGGCGAGGTTAGCTCCAATTTCGTCGATAAAGCTCTCAAAGACTCACTGAGTCGTTCCTGTTGGTCCTCTTTTCTTCTGCCCCGTGGGATCCCAAAGTGCGCCTCAAGCACGTGGCGCCGGTACGACTCTCCTGTTGCGACCTCGATTCCGCATGGTTCGCAGTCGGTGCGACCCATCGCGAGGCCCGAGGCTGCAATTGCACCCCGGATTCCGCACCGGCGCTTCCCCTTTTCGTCAACCGTGAATCCTTGGTCGACGGGGAAAACGACCTTGAATGCCGACGTCTTGAAAAGCTTTTGAGCCCTCTTGAGGTGCTCAAGGACCTCGATGGGATCCGCGTATCCCATCGAGTCTTTCTCTACGTATTGTTAGCAAGTGGATGTTGTCCAAAGGACGTGACGTACCAAAATGCTTCTCCTCCACTCCATCTTCGGTGGCCTTGGAGGCCTTTCGGGAGGGCTTGCGAGGTTGAGCAACCTTTTTGCCTGGATGGCGAGGTCGGATGACCTTTTTACCTAGATGGCGAGGTCAGTGATTAGCGAGAAAAAGGTGAAGGAGGACATACCCTTGGCGGCGGAGCCGCTCTTGATAGGTTTGTCACGGCCGCTTGAACTGATGGAGCCGTGACTATGGATATTAAGAGTTTTTCCGCCGGCAGGAATCTTCCTTCCGACAGAGCCTGAGGTGAGCGAGCTCATTCCCTCTGTCCCAGACGTCGACGCGCGTCTCGAGTCTGGCGACGCTTTCGACTTCCTGGCCTCACCTGCGTCGCTCTCATGAGCCAGCAGTTGAATAGGTCTGTATCAATCAGTATCAATCAGACCATTCATGCAGAGTTACGAACCTATCCTCGTCATCCTCAAATTCGGACTCCAGGTCCCTTCGACTCCGAACGGTGCTGGTTCGTCCTCCAGCTCTGGCGCGCGTATCTGCGACCGCCAAACAATGAAAGTCTGTCTGGCTCCGTTGATGGAACGACGCTGACCGAATCGTCCCATCTAATGCAGCAAGTTAGTAGACATTCGCAACATTCACAAGGGACGAACAAAGGGTTCGAATCTCCGGCAAGGGACTCTGTGCCTTCCAAGCTGGTTGCGAAAAGCGCCAGCGCCTATCGAAATCTGCTTGGCCTAACTCACTGTTTCTCCCAGTCGCTCCGCGTCCACCAGAGACACTCTATAACCTCGCGGTCGTCTGCGGGTTCGTGGGATCCTTTTGGCACCTCGATGAGGTCCTCATCGAAATTATACGTGTCCATGGTTGATTCGTTTTCAGATCCTGGCTTTGTAGACGCGTTGGTGGGCAGCGACCAAAGGACGCGTCGGGGGGCGAGGTCAAGTGCGAGGCCGGCCAGAACGTGACTCGTGGCCTCTTTATAATGACGCGCTAAAGCGGGGTTTGAACTCGTTTCGCGAGACACGTGATCCAAGCCACCTGCTAGGTCGCACCGATTGGCAGATGCCTTTGCCTGGAAGTACCAGGCGCGTGTTGGATGGATGGTATCTACCTCCGAGAGTTTCAGCTACTCAGATAGAGGCAGATAAAGGCAAGTTTGTGGGCTGGTCACCGTTGGCTCCGGACGTGGCTCAACGCGTCCTTTCCACCACATCAGGGCGCAGACGCGCACTCCCTCTGAAGGGCGTGTAGTCTCATCTAGAGCCTATTATGTATACGTTTGACGCGTTTACATGTACTCGTATGGCCCTTTGTGAGCGAGCACGCTTGTTCACTCGCGGCTGTTGATCGCTGACCGAAGGGAATCCAGTAGAACCTGCTTTATATGATCTATTCATGCTTTATACTGCGTCCTATGATGACATGGCCGCAGAATATTGGCCTGCCAGACGGTTGCATAAAGGATCCCATTCTGCCACATTTTTTGGAGCCAGCGCTGGCGTTTCGACGGCGCTCGCACCTATTGGCCTGTTTACGGTCTATCCCACCTCTTTCTCTCTCTTCGAACTCTTGTGCGATCTTTCGGCGGTGCTCTGATCATAGAGCCACCCCCATGCTCTGCTCTCACGCCGTTCCATGCTCCTCGCAGTCTACGCGCAATATAATATAGCATAGATTCCTCCTCTTTAATTTCCTCTCAGAGTCGTTGCTTGTCGAAACTGGACAATCTCAACGGCCTACTCGAAAAAAAAAGGCAGGTTTATGGGCTCGTCGCGGTCGGCCCTGGGGATAGCGCAATTTGTCCTTTCCGTCGAATCAGGATGCAGGCGTGCAGTTTGCCTTCATGACAACGGCGATGCCAACTCGCCGTCTTGAGAATACCTTGTATAAGAGCAGGGCGTCTCCTCCGGTTTCAATTACCTTTTCTACTGATCCTGTAGTGAGGAAAATCTAACAGGCATATCTTTTCCTCCAATTTAAGCCTTCCATAGGGTGTTTTGAGCGGTGCGTGGTCCATTGGCGTGATGCCAGAGAACAGTCCCCGATGTACGGAGCCGCAGCGACGATGTCTGTCGTTCTCATGTGCTGAACGATCAGGTAATTCGCGGATTTCACCGTGATTTGATCTCTTTGCTCCTGTATAAGAACGATTCCGGCTCTCCAAGATTGACGGTTTTCTTTCCTAGGTTTGGCTCATCTCAGTCCTGACATCGATTGAAACCTCGAGAATGGAATTGAAGCTACATTTGAATGACGTCGGGATGGACTAGAGTTTGCTGGCACCGAAGGGTCACCCGAACGGGTACAAGTCTCCGGGTGGGAAGCGATCCCAGAATTCAAAGTCAACTGATGGGAGAGAATCACCAGCTATTCGGTTATCTTGGCGTCGGCACAGGGGTTGGGCTCGTGGCGGCGTCAGGAGTTGACTATTTATCCCAGCTTTTGGCCATCTTCGTGGTCCGTACCAATATAGACAATATGTACCGAATAATTTCATACCAATAATCTTACTATCGTGTCCAAACATGCGTGGATCATTGCTTAGAGCCCTATTTGGAATAACAAAGAACTGATTCTGATATTCGAATGAGCTATGGCGTTCTCGATCACTACACAGTCGTCTTTTAGCCGCGTCTAGTGTCTCCCCAGAGTACAACTTCCGAGTTGTTGCCGGTCTAGAAAGTCTCGTAGCGCTATCTTATCTGCCGATGTTTTCCTTGGAAACTGTGTGGATCAACGGGTGGTCCGTCTCACCGACTAGGTCCGAGGCGCCGCTTGCCATAGTCGGGCCATACCGTATAAAGTGGGCGTAAGTACTCGACCTTGGCCCTTTCTCATCCAACCCCACCACTCCAAATCCACAAATCTACGACAGCAAATATGTCCATCACCAAAGTACACGCTCGTCAGGTTAGTTTACTCTCATTTGGGTTATTGGGGTTCAGATGGAATCTCGTTGGGCAAGATCTACGGCGAGCGAGTCCAAACAGCTTGTTGTTTTGTCATCTATACTGGATTCAAGTGTAATACGCATAGATCTGGGCGCTGACATGCCATCCATCCGTGTTCTAGATCTTTGACTCGCGAGGCAATCCGACCGTCGAAGTCGACTTGTACACCGCAAAAGGTGCGCATATAGTCCTGTGCTTTCCATAGCTCGTCGGGCTCATCGATTCGGTTTGATCAGGTCGTTTCCGAGCAGCCGTCCCGTCTGGTGCATCCACTGGCGTTCACGAGGCCGTCGAACTCCGTGACGGTGACAAGAAGTCGTATGTTGGAAAAGGCATCTACATCCAAATCACCTGCCTCGCGCTATCATGCATACACGGCTCTCCTTTTCCGATCGGTCTCGCCTCGAATCACACCATGTTAACATATGTACTAACCGTACTAACAACCTATTCTAGGTGTTCAACGCCGTCAAAACGTCAACGAGACCATTGCACCCGCCCTCATCGACTCTGGTCTCTCCGTCACTCAACAAAAGGACATTGACGCCCTCCTCATCAAACTCGACGGAACGCCCAACAAGGGTAAACTCGAGCCAACGCCATCCTAGGTGTCTCCATCGCCGTCGCCGAAGCTGGTGCCGCCGAATCTGGCTTGCCTCTCTATGCCTATTTGGCCAAACTCGCTGGACACCCAGAAGGTGGCAAGATGACGATGCCGTGCCCTGCGTTCAACGTCATCAACGGTGGCTCGCACGCTGGTAATGGACTCGCTTTCCAAGAGTTTATGCTCCTCCCCACGGAGCGACCAGCTTCACCGAGGCGATGAAGATTTACCGAGACGTATCATACGCTCAAAAGGTCATTCAGGCCAAGTATGGGCTTGATGCGACCAACGTCGGTGACGAGGTGGATTCGCACCCAATGTCGCTGGTGCCGAGGAGAGTCTCGAGTTGTTGAGCGAGAGGCGATCAAAAGGCTGGATACGAGGGCAAGATCAAGATTGGACTCGACGTTGCGTCTTCCGAGTTTTACAAGGACGGCAAGTACGACTTGGATTTCAAGAATGCCAACTCGGATCCGACAAAGTGGATCACCAAAAGAGTTGGGCGACTTTACAACAAGATGATTGAGAAGTACCGATTGTGTCGATTGAGGATCCGTTTGATCAGGATGATTGGAGGCCTGGTTTTGCTCGTACCAATGGCACCAAAGTCCAGGTTGTCGGTGATGATTTGACAGTCACCAACCCCGAACGTATCCAGACGGCGATTGGCAAAAGGCGCAATGGCTTGCTGCTCAAGATTAACCAGATTGGTACGATTAGCGAGAGTATCAAGCGTGCGTCTTCTTTTCCATTTTTTCTTTACTCTTTATTCATCAACCATGTGATAGCGCCCAGCTTGCGCAGTCGGACGGATGGGGTGTCATGGTCTCAACCGCTCAGTGAGACTGAGAACACGGTCATTGCCGATCTCGTTGCTCGCTCTTTAGCCATTGACCAAGACAGGTGCACCTGTGCCAGCGAGCGTGTAAGCCAAGAGCTAAACTAAGCTTGCTTCGGACGTGACGCTTACTGTGGTGCTACTGGTATAATGCTTCATCGAAGAGGAACTCGGAGAGAATGCCGTCTATGGGTGTGAATGGCGGGTCTTGCCGGCACTACGGCGCCTGCCTTGTTGAAGAAGCGGCGATACGAGTGGTTGAATGGATGTGGACGCAAATTTCGGAATGGATGCACGAGATCCAGCATACCAATTATGATCGGTCATGTCCAGGTTTCAGAGTGGCTGTGCAGCTGGCGAACCAATGGGTATCGCGCCAAGCGGTTTGCAGTTCATGATTACCACCCGTACCTCTGGCCATATTTAAACTCGCGCTGTCTGTGATGAGAAGATAGTTCACGATTACCACCTGTACCCCTCTCTCTGTGGCCATTTAAACTCCAGGATCGGTCATGGATCTCATCCACCCTCTTCTCCTTCTGCGCTTTCAGTTTCTCTCTCATCCAAGACGATCCCAGCAGACTTGCCGAGCTGATGATGAGCGCCGTCTGTGATGAGTGGTGAGTGTCCCTTTGAACGCGCGTCGACTCCGGCCTTTTTACCTGGCCGCGTAGCCACCACCAGTAAAATAAGTGTTCCGGAGTATAAGCTCATGATATGCGATGCATGTACTTTGGGATCACAGGTCTGTCTCAGACTGTCGAGGGCACATGTAGGGTGGCAGAGCGTTCGTCCATTGCGGACGGTGCCAATAATCAACGGTAAATAGAATAAAGGTTTTCTGTCATTTACTAATCGATAGTAGTGTGGTTTCATATATCACGCGCAAAAGAAGCCGACGAGGTCCGTTATTTGCGCGGACAAGGCAAGTCCTATTTGGTTATCATACTGGATTCAATGAGATGATCGTGCACATTGTCACTTTGGACATAGGACCAAGCGCACTCCCAGACCCTTGTTTAAATCATCCCATTCCTGAGTACGCTCTACGCTCTTAGCAACGAACCAACCTTGTGGGTAGTCACAAAACAATATATTCATCCTGGGGACAAAGTCGAAAGATTCTTTGCAACCAGTTCGTTTCAATCACGCTAAGCCGTCGCTGATAATCTTCAGTTTGTCTCGAAACAGGAGATTTTCGGATGGTGTAGATCACCGAAAATCTCGTTCCTATCGCGGACTCGTTCTCCCGCCGCGGTCGGTCTTTCGCCCGTGTGAGAAGTGGAAATGGTTGCCTGCTCCATCCTCCGAGGGAGTCGACGAATACAATACCATCTCTAATGGACCATTCAAGGCTTTTATGGTCCTTTCAGCATGAAGTTGAGCACCCTTTACTCTCTGATGGAGCTGCCAGCCTCAAGCGCCATTCAGAGTTCTAAAATGATATTGAGTCTCAAAGAGAACTGGGCCAAGGAAGCCAACAGAATACGCGCCTGATTCGTCACATGTGACATGATCGCCAAGCTTCATCGTCCTGTGGCGATGTTCAAGAGACTGATAAAGACCGATGCGTGGCAGATGCACTTTCTTCCTTGCTGTCGGATCCGATCCCCGTTTGTCTCCGCCTAGACGTATAACCAATCCCAACCCTCAACGGCGGGCCACCCATCACGAACAAGCTACCTGCGTCCTCAGGATACTATCCAACTGCAGAATTCGGCAAGTACATCTGGACAATAAATGTCGTTTTTTCTGATTACCATCGCGCATCCACCCCTCGTCCTCAGACACTTCGCGGTGCTGTCATTGTGGAGATCAACCACATCTTGAATCATCCATCGGTCCTCCATCGCTCATTCTCTGTCGGCCAGAAAAGCTCGTGCCGCTCCCATTCTTCATCGCCAAGCACACCACAGTCAACTCGGATCCCGGTTGCTCATACTCAGTGAGCGGTACAGAAAGAAATCTCACCGGTCATGTGCACCTATATCTGTCGCATGTGCTCACGACGGTCCATACTCGACTGTTTATCCTGGCGTTTACAATGATGGATTTCGCAAAGAGCTCGTACGTGATACTCCATGACCAAAATAAACTCCATTAATACCTACGTAGGTCGCTATCAAAGTAGTCAAGTCAATCGGTCCCATACACTCGATACGGCGGGCAATGAAAGGAGCAATGACAACGGCCGAGCTAACCTAGTGCAGAGACGTCGTCGAGAAGTCATTACTGGGACGATTCTCCGTCACCCTAATATCCTCCCCGTTTATGGTATTGCCGAAGGCAAAGAGTTTGGTCCCTTTGGTGGAATCGTTACTCCAGTGAGTCACCACTCTGATTGGACGTGTAACTGAGCATTCGTAGTGGTGTCCAAATGGTAGCGCTGTGCAATATCTGTACACCCACGACACTTTGCCGGCTGAGAGGTACCGCCTGGTGAGAAGCACTGCGACGAAAGGGCTCAGATAGGCTAATAATCGAATAGTGGAAGGGAGTTGTGGATGGGCTTGCATATCTGCATGCGCACGTACCGCAGATCGTCCACGGAGATATGAAACCTGTAGGCCAACTTGTGACTACGCTCAAGTAACCAACTCATTATTGCTTTGTAGCCTAATATTCTCATCGCTGACGATGGACGACCTATGATCTGCGACCTCGGACTTGCACGAGTCGAGGAATATCGGCGACCGTCTTCATTCAATGGCGTCCTTAGCAATGGATGCTGGGAATGGATGGTTGGGATCAATACTACGAGCGCACATACGGGTACACCGCGTTATCTCGCACCAGAACAGGTCGACCCGGACAATCCGTCGAGACCAACCATGGCTACGGATGTGTACGCAGTAGGGTGTATTGGGTACGAGGTACGTTGTTCGCACATTATCTCCCTTTTCCTAGTCCTTTGGTACTGTACGTCCCAGCGCTGACACACACTAGCTTATCTACTCGGCGGTACCCTATGCGCACCGTAAACACAATCTGCAATGGCAAATCTTTCACGACATTCACAACGGTGTTCCACCCGCACGTAGACCTGATATTGCAACTCCGTCCTCTACCAATCCCACCGTGGCGTCGTCCGAGGTCTGTGGGATCACGATCCTCTGGGATGTGCTGGAGTTGTGCTGGAGTCGCGATCCTTGTCGTCGACCGAGTGCATCGGACTTGTGCGAGTGGTTGGCGCAGGACGAGGACGTGATTATCGATGCACTCGAGCGCCGAGCATAATAGCCCAGCGCCCTTTTGTTTGATGCCATTCTCGGTCGGCCAAACCCAGACCTCTCTGTTCATCTTCAAATAGTTCCGCATTGATGATCTATGTGAATTCTCCTCCTAAAAGGTATCCTTATTCTCCTGGCGAGCTATTTGATGAACGTTGCGTTCCATCAATCTGCCTCGTTGTGCCTCTGTTGCATAGTTCTCGCTGTTTTCGTTGGAAATCAAATATATTTCACCTTAGATGACATCGACGTGGTGAACATTCAGGAGTGAGAGCGGCTGCTCGGCCAGCAGCTAGGAATCCTCGACTCTATACGGGTACCTTGTGTATTTAGATGAAATAGCTGCAGATTTCATCATCCATGGAATCGAGGAATGGCGTTGGGAAGATGCCTCCGTAGGAGGGTAAACATTCGGAGGCGATGCAAACTGCCAGCACCTTCGAAAGCGTTCAAGGCCTAGTCTAGAGCACTTTGAGTTTTGAAAACATTTGGGTGATAATCTGAGACGCGATAGACTGCATTTAGTGCTGTTGAGCAATGTCCGGGAGTTTGTCTTCGACTGTATTGTAAGTCTCCTCAAGCGGAGCTGCAAGCGCCGTTTGTCTCGGCGAGACCGTGCCTTGAGCAAATGTCATTGCTTTTGTCCAGTTTGACTGTATTAAGTGCAGTTCCAAAGACCACGTCTAACACTCAAGCAATACAACCGTTTGGCATCCGGCCCCTTCCAAAGGCTGACTGGTGGTGGCCATATCTGTCTTTAGGAATGCAAGCAGACTCCTTCCAACGAAACACGCTGACTATGTCGGCAGCCAGCGTCGAGTGGTGAGCCCAACCTGGATCCTTTCGACCTTGGCTCTACTCGGACATGTAGCCGCAAGCATAAAGCCAAGTGCAAACAAACTAAAGGCTCTGAAGGATGCAATCTGTGCACCTTGGATCGCCGCATATGCTTCTCATCCTCCCAGGCAGGACATCAACGATGGGCAGACATCTCTTTGAGTGTCATAGACGTCGAGGACGAAGAGTATGTGTCTATTTTGTTCGTCTACCGACAAACTCTGATGATCACAGCATGCGCGCGCCAACACCCGACCATTCTGTCGACGAGATCGCGGCCAGCACTGAGAGGAGGAACCCGCGTCGGCATGCGTCTGCTTGTGACAGATGTCGTACTCTCAAGGTTGGTGATTCTCCATGTTACATGTGCTGTCATTGAACGTGCTAACCGCGGACGACGACCGTTCTTCCATATCCAGGTCAAATGCAACTGTTCAAGCAACTGCTCGAACTGTTCCACAGCAGGTGTCGAGTGCACGCGTGATATGAAGTCACGCCTTGGGGCCATCGAAACGATACCGAAGCTCTGGAGACTAAATTGACCTACCTGGAATCTTTGTTGATACTGTTCGTCCTTCGATAGCCATGTTGGCAAATATTTGACCATTTTCACCAGCCCAATGCTAGGCAAACACCCTCCGAGACGAGCACCTCAAGGCGCATCCTTGTCGGCTCCGCCGTTGGGAAGGCCACAGACGCAAAATCCGCACACTCCGAAGCCCGTAGCTGTTCCAGCCAAGGGTATTTTCGCTTGTCTGATTGCTTGGTTGATGGCGGCGTTTTCACTATCTGGAACTGCCATCCAGCGGCCAGGTGCCTTGGAGGTTTTCATCCTCGACTCTGCCAAAAAAATGGGACGTCTGTTTCAAGAACAGAAAATGGGAGGCGAAAGGGGGGATTGTCGACAATCTCAAAGGCCAGTTCAACACCGTCTGAAAATCATCATCATGTGGAATGCCATCGGGCGAATCCTGTAGATACATCGCACTACAACCCTCCAATTTCCCCTCAGACCCTCTGCGTTCGCGCACATGACCTCGACGGCAATCCGGAGTCACCGACACCGCTCTCTCCAGACGCTATAATTGATGCTACACCTCATGCTCAATTCATATATACGATGCCGACATTGTCAGCCATTCACCTCGCACCGAAACAATCAAAGTATGCGCCAGCTCGTCCCATCCAGTCGAACGTGACTCGCCAGCAGGTCAACGACCACTTTCCAGCGACCCCTCTCCCTCAATATCCCTGTATGCAACACTGGATGGCCTTGAGTCGCTCCCAATCACAGGCGACGCGTGGGCCGATTCTCTTCAGGGTGGCTTCTTCTCATGCCCGCCTCGTGTATTGAATCTTACTGGAAACACACATCTATATCGATCCAGCAAAATCTATGACGGCCCATATTCGGCTGTCTATCGAGGCATCTACAAGGACGAATATGGCGAAGAAGACGCGCGTACATTCTTCGTCGTCACAAAGTACACTCATTCAATTTACATAGGTCGCCATCAAAGTGATAAAACCAGTTGGCCCTAAGCTTATGCTATACGGCGGGTATGTGGCACCGAAACGGCGAGGTCGGCCTAAACTGGTTTCAGAGACGTCGTCGCGAGGTTATTACTGGATAAAGTTCGGCATCCAAATATTCTTCCCGTCTATGGGGCCGTGGAAGGTCGAATGTTTGACCCTTTGGCGCAATCGTCACACCGGTGAGTTGGTAATTTAATCTAACGTCGTTTATTGAATATAAACAGTGGTGCTCAAACGGCAATGCTGTTCAATATCTCCAGAACTACAAGCTCTCGCCACTCGAAAGATATCGATTGGTGAGTACTGTTGCGACCAGGGACGAGTGTCGGCTAACAGCAGTACAGTGGCGAGGTGTTGTGGATGGCCTGGTTCACTTCCATTCCCGCATGAGCCGCAAATCGTACATGGAGATATGAAACCCGTACGTTGCTTTCACGTTCTGTGCCAGATTGCTCATACTAGGATGTTTAGCCCAACGTTCTTATTGCAGATGACGGACGACCGATGATCTGCGACCTTGGTCTTGCGCGACTCATCGTCGACGGCTCTCAACCTCATCGTCTCCCCTCGAGTGCAGGGGTTATGAACATTGGGCGGATGGGTGGAATCAACACTACGAGTGCGCATGCACGGGGACGCGCGGTATCTTGCCCCCGAGCAGGTCGACTGAATCGTCCATCTCAGCCAACCACGGCTACGGATGCATATGCGGTAGCGTGCATTGATTCGAGGTGCGTTGTCATCGCAATATGCTGGATAGCATAGCTGATACGACCCTAGTTCATCTATTGTACCTTATGCTCATCGAGAGCATAACCTCCAGGACAAATATTCCACGACATTCGGACTGGCGTCCCACCCGCGTCTCGACCAGACATGTCCTCTTCTTTGGCTGATGATGCACTCGCGTCATCCTCTGCCGATGGCATCGATATTCTTTGGAGTATTCTAGAGTCGTGCTGGAGTCGTGAGCCACGGTCTCGCCCGACTGCATTGCTCTTGCGCAAATGGTTGGTCGAGTACGAGGACGTGATCGTCGATGCGCTCGAATGTGGAGTATACTAGTCACCCCGCCTTATTTCGCGAAACTATCCTCACCGGTTTAAGCCAAACCCCGCTGTACATCCTCAAATTGGTCGCGCCTTGACAATCTGTGCGAATTCTCTCTCCTGGAAGGTGGCCTTGTTCTCTCGAGCTAGTCCAAACACACCTGGTGATCAAACTGAGATGTGTCAAATTGAATGACATATGATTATGACGATATACTGATTGTAATTCACCCTGCCTAAATGTCCCACTTGACACATGGAGATGTAATGTCATCGGAATATGGTAGATTTCATGCTTTCCAATGATTGAGCTAAAGAATGGTGGGGATGTATTACGTGGACTGCCATTGCTGAGCTTATAATCGCCTCGTTGAATTTGCCTGCTGGACCAACGGCGCATGATCAGCAGTAAGTATAGTCGAGGACAAAAAGTGTCTAAATCGATTGTTCACCAAAGCTCTCTCAAACTGTCATAGATGGCATGCATAGCACTATCGGTATCTCCACCTGACGCACCTCGAGTTGTACAACCCTGATCCAATTGCCATATCGTGCCCCTAATCGCATAGACGCCACAGGAAAGTTACGAGCGCAAGCCCGTCCAAGCTTGACCCCAGCACCGGCACCAGGTCCTGGGTCACTTCATCAAGGCTGGTCGCCCTGGAATGACCTTGAATGACCTTGAACTGCCTTGCCTGGACTGACAAGGTTTTTACCACAATTCCGACGTGTGGGCGGATACGACGTTGAGGCAGTGCCTTCTCTCCAAAGTATTCCTGCATTGATGATGATTGAGTGCGATGTTCGGGGAATTGATGTGAATGCATTACTTTTGAATGGAGAATGAGCCAACGAGGTGCAATGTGGCGCGTCGCGGACAAGGCTGATTCACCGGATGTGCGTGACAACTGCCTTCCCGGGAAAATATCATCTCAGTCGAGCCACTGCGCATATAACGCACCTCGATCCCCATTGAATGCTGTTTGTCTCTCCTCATCCTCTCCATCTTCACTCTCTGTTGTTGAAGTAATACAGCATGTCGACGATGAAGATGGCCTGCGAAGCGTGGTGAGCCCCTCACTTGTACCTGCCGTCGATTTTGGCTAACACTCGACTCATGCAGCTACGCGCGCAATATCGAGTGTATACGAAATAGAACCCCCGAGAGATGCAATACTTGCATTCAGACCCGCCAGGCCTGTTCTACGACCTTTGGAGCTACCAATCCACAGTTGGCACCGCACGCTTTCATCCGCGCACGAAGTGGCCAATCAACGGTAAATTGCAATTACGTCTTGCGCTGGCATTATACTGACAACATCAGCATACTTGCTCCCGGCACCATACAGTCAACAAGCCAATATCCTGCTCATCAGGTCAGTTTCTACTTGCACCGCTCTCTTCGTTTCTCATGAGCTGATCTCCACTGATCCACCAGTCTCAGATCCAATATTTTGCTGGCGCCGCGGACCCTAGGGTGAACGACGACGATGGAAACGACATTGAGCAAACAGTCGCTCGCCTGACTCGTCTACAACGCCTAATCAACGGGCTTATTCGTCCGGTGGTGAAACTACGGAGAGCCATCAAGTACTCACTGAGCGGCCCTCGAGTTTCCTCACCGCGCAATCTTCATCCAGTGTCCTCTCCATTTACACCAGCTGGCGGTTCCCCGCGATCAATCACGGACCACGCGTCGTCTGCCTCTCGTCAGACGCCTATTCAACCACAGAGCCCGACATCAAGTCTTTTCGAGAGCGTAGACGTCGACCTCGAAGGTAGTCAAAAGGCTTTCGGGTATCTGGCTCAAGACGTGGATGCTCCCGCTCGCCCGGTATCACTAAAAGAGGTTAATCTCGACTATTCAACTCACCCTTCATCTTTTCCTTCTCTCGGCGCCCACAAGAACTTGCGCCACTCTTCCGTCAGTAGCGTCCCTGACAATTCGAGGCCTGCCAACTCTTCTCCGTGGACAATTCGAGAGAGAAACCTCACGGGTTATGTGCGGTTGCGCTCATTGCACAAAGTCTACGATGGTCCATATTCGGCCGTCTATCAAGGTATCTACAAGGACGGGGATGAAGAAAAAGACGTATGTATCTTCGTTGTGGGTCGACTCCCACTGACCGAGCACCGCGTAGGTCGCCATAAAGATCGTTCGAGCCGTCGGGTCTCCTCGTTCGATACGGCGGGTGCGTCATGAAGTATTGTAGGGGGTTGAGCTGACTTGGCTCCAGAGAAGATGTCGTGAAGTCACGACAGGAATGAGTATTCACCATCCGAATATCCTCCCGGTATACGGCATTGTCGAGGGCGAGGAGTTTGGCCCGTTTGGCGGAATCATCACACTAGTGAGATGCTTTTCTAGATTGAAAAGCCGTACTGAGCGTCCATAGTGGTGTCCAAATGGCAATGCTGCGCAATTGGTCCACGAGTACAATCTTTCGCCACTGGAAAGATATCGTCTGGTGAGTACTGATGGGATAAAAGAAGGTGCATGCTAACGGTCACTCAGTGGCGAGGTGTGGTGGATGGACTTGCTCATCTACATTCGCATTCACCGCAAATTGTACACGGAGACATGAAACCGGTGGGTCTTTCCTCAGGTACTCCCCTGACTTCGCTGACCGCCGACCTCTAGCCCAATGTTCTGATTGCCAAAGATGGAAGGCCGATGATTTGCGACCTCGGGCTTGCACGAATCTTGGTCGATGAGACCTCATTCTCGAGCGACGGATACGCTAGCGACGAAAATCAGTCCTGGATGCGTAAAATCAATACCACAACGCCGCATTCTGGAACACCTCGATACCTCGCTCCCGAACAGGTTGATCTAAACCGTCCTTCTAAACCTACTACAGCGGCAGACGTGTACGCAGTCGGGTGTATCGGGTTCGAGGTACGTCGTCTTCCGCTGAAACTCCGCTCCATGATGCTTGACCAATGGCACAGTTCATCTACTCAAAGGTGCCCTACGCAAATCGTCCACACAATCTTCAGGGTCAAATCTTCCATGATATTCGTCGCGGCATCCCTCCCGCTTCTCGACCGACGACCTCACACTCACCCAAAACTAGTCCATTGTCGACCCCGGACGACGGTGTGAGTACTCTATGGGATATACTGGAGTGGTGCTGGCGTCGTGATCCTTCTTCTCGCCCGATGGCATTGCGTCTGCGCGAGTTGTTGGCCAGTTACGAAGACGTGATTGTCAGTGCGCTCGAGTGCCAGACCTAACGGCTAGAGTTATGGAAATTTCCTCCCCTTCTATCTCGCCTTAAATCGACTTGAATTATATCGTCGGATGCAAGCGGGTTGCCGGTAAAGTTACCTTGGGAGCCTGTTCTGACGCTCACAGCCTACAAGGCATGTATATAGTTAAATGTGTTCACGAAGGACTATAGTTCGTCGGCTTTCATGCTTACGTAATACACTCAACGCGCCTGGAAACAACTCCCAAATATTGACGACGCGTTTAAATGTCGTGATTCTCCCTGAATGGCCTTGAATACAGACTAATTACACTACCTTCGTATCATGAACATCCTACCAATATAGTCATAATTGACTTTGTTCGACGGGTCGTCGTTCTTCGGATCGAGGCGCGCCGGCAAGTCTCTGCGAGAGAAAGAAAGTTTGTAGGTGAAATTTATCCCGTATAATAGTCGCTTTGGAACCGTCTATGTTATGTATAATGCGTTTCTCCCTTATCTAAGGATGAGCCTGGCGCCGATAATGACCAGCCTTCGTAGGCAAGAACCTTTGATGGAGATGAATCAATTAATGTTGAAAGAGGATATGGATATGCGGAAATGAGGCGGAAGCGAAGTGGAAACGACGCTGAGGGAGGGACATGAGCATGGTCCTCTAGTTAGAACACCACAAAACAACCATGTTAGAGCTTGATAAGAGACGAAGAGGTAAATTAGACTGTAAAGAGACCAATGGATGCGAGCGGTGTTGAGAAACGAGCGGCGGCTCCAAAAAATGTGGCAGAATGTGATCCTTTATGCAACCGTTTGGCGGGCCAATTTTATGCGGTCTTCTCATCGCATTACGCGATTTAGAGCAGAAATAGATTATATAAAAAGGATCAGGGGGTTCCTTGTGGTCAGCGATCAACAGCACGAGTCCACCAGGTGCCTGCTCACGAAAGGCCATAAGAAAACATGTAAACGCGTCAAACGTATACATAACAGGCTCTAGATGGGACTACACGCCCTTCAGAGGGAGTGCGCGTCTGCGCCCTGATGTGGTGGAAAGGACGCGTTGAGCCACGTCCGGAGCCAACGGTGACCAGCCCACAAACTTGCTTTTATCCTCTCTATCTGAGTAGCTGAAACTCTCGGATATAGATACCATCCATCCAACACGCGCCTGGTACCTCCAGGCAAAGGCATCTGCCAATCGGTGCGACTCAGCAGGTGGCTTGGATCACGTGTCTCGCGAAACGAGTTCAAACCCCGCTTTAGCGCGTCATTATAAAGAGGCCATGAGTCAGTTTCTGGCCGGCCTCGCACCTTGACCTCGCCCCCCGACGCGTCCTTTGGTCGCTGCCCACCAACGCGTCTACAAAGCCGGGATCTGCAAACGAATAAACCATGGACACGTATAATTTCGACGAGGACCTCATCGAGAAGCCGCGAAGGGATCCCACCCCCGAACCCGCAGACGACCGCGAGGTTATAGAGTGCCTCTGGTGGACGCGGAGCGACTGGGAGAAACAGTGAGTTAGGCCACGCAGATTTCGATAGGCGCTGACGCTTTCGCAACCAGCTTGGAAGGCAAAGAGGCCCTTGCCGGAGACGCGGATTCGCTGTTGGTGCTCTGTGAGCATTTTAAATATCCACTGACTTGCAGCATTAGACGGGACGAATCGGTCAGCGTCGCTCCATCAACAGAGCCCGATACGCTTTCGGTCTGCCCGAGCGATCTTGACGGTCGTTCGGATAGACTCTCAGCGTTTGGCGACACAGATGCGCCAGAGCTGGAGGACGAACCGGAGCCGGTCGGAGTCGAAGGGGACCTGGAGTCCGAGTTTGAGGATGACGAGGATAGGTTCGTAACTATGCATGAAAGGTCAGATTAATACTGATCGATACAGACCTATTCAACTGCTGGCTCATGAGAGCGATGCAGGTGAGCACAAGAGGTCGAAAGCGTCCCCTGAATCGGAACGCGCGTCGACCTCTGGGACAGAGGGTGCAACCTCCCAAGGCTCAGTCTCCGTCGGTGGGATCCTTCCTGCCGACGGAGTCAAACTTCACAACCATAGTCACGGCTCCGCCAGTTTGGCAAGCCGTGACAAAGTCATCAAGAGCGGCTCCGCCGCCAAGGGTATGTCCTCATTTGCGTTCTTCTCGCTAATCACTGACTTCGCCATCCAGGTAAAAAGGTCATCCGACCTCGCCATCCAGGCAAAAAGGTCGCCCAACCTCGCAAGCCCTCCCGAAAGGCCTCCAAGGCCACCAAAGATGGAGTAGAGGAGAAGCATTTTGGTACGTGACGTTTTTTGGACAATATCCACTTGCTAACAATACGTAGAGAAAGACTCGATGGGATACGCGGATCCCATCGAGGTCCTTGAGCACCTCAAGAGGGCTCAAAAGCATTTCAGGACGTCCACCTTCAAGGTCGTTTTCCCCGTCGACCAAGGATTTACAGTCGACGCAAAAGGGAGGCGCCGATGCGGAATCCGGGGGGCGATTGCAGCCTCGGGCGTCGTGCGATGGGTCCACACGGAGTGCGAACCGTGTGGAATTGAGGTCGCAACGGGGGATTCGTACAGGCGCCATGTGATAGAGGCGCACTTTGGGATCTCTCGAGGGCGCAAAAAGGACCAACCAGATCGCATTCGTAAGTCCTTGGATGACTTTCGTAAACGGAATCGGAGCTGATGCCTTAGTGTAGAGAAGCGAATCAGGGAGCACTACGACGCGGAGAGGACGGGGAGGAAGCGAAAGGCGGAGGAGGACGATGGCGACGAGTACGAAGATGGCGTGGAGCGCACCAGAAAAAGAGTCCGGAAGCAAGCCTCTAGCTTGGAATGAGTCTGGAAAATGTAGTGCAATCTAGCAGTCTGAATCTGAGCATATTCTGGTTATATAACTATATGCCATATCGATGCGACGCCCGAGGTCCAGTGAAGTGATGTCAAATAAAAAAGAGAAATGGAATATCCAAAATCTTGATAGTCGAAACGTCGCCTCTGCGGGCCGGCAGTCGAGATGGGCGGGTCGAAGATGGGATCAGGCCCGCGCTTGCGTGTATCTCAACGCTAGTAAGAAATATTCGAACAATATAATTCATAGACAAGCAAGGACGGTGGTTTGCGAGTCTATCGCCACTGCATCACTCCGGGTGATCCCAAAGTTCCAGCCTCATTCAAAAGTAGGTCAGGAGGTCGTGGCTTGACTGCCACCAGGCGAAGTCACTTAAAAAGGGTAGATATGGAACCGCGTCGTTGTCCCCCGCTCAGGTAAGCAACTGGTTCGGCGAGGTTTTATCTAGTTGTGCAAAAATATTCAAAGCATCATCACAAGGCAAAGAATGTCGACTGCGTGTGACGAGTGGTGAGTCGCGTCTTGAACCCGACTTCGACTTGGGCCTGATGTGAAGCATGTAGCCGCTCAAGCAAAATCAAGTGTACAACGCATTCAAACTCTCAGAGACGTGATGCGTGCATCCTGTCTCGCCACGTCTGCTCGCGGATCACGGGCTCGCCATTGGAAGACGGTTCGTTGGATGTAGTTGATGTTAACAATCTTCTCGCCAGTACGTTGAATTGCCACATATATGTCATATATTCAAGATATCAGTATGTCTGCCCCAACACGCAACAATCAGACGGCAAGGGCGGTCCCGGGATTCCACTGTCAACCGGTCACCAACGTCGCTATCCTCTCCGAGACAAATCTGTCCTTTGGGGTCAGTAAGCTTCCCGTGTTGCGCGTCCCTCATCGCGCTGATTAGAAATGTCCACCATTGCCTTCTACATACAGGCCAAGTGCGACTCTCCGGGCGACTGCTCCTCTTGCTCAAAGTCGGGGGTCGAGTGTTCACGTGATACCAAGCGGCTTCTTCATGGCCAACCAAAGCCGGGCTACGTGGAATCTCTTCTCCAACTGGTTTGTTCTTCAACGACCACACTAGTTGCATATCTGATCATTCTTCCCAGTTCAACGTCAAACAAAGGGTCTCGGCAAGGCGAGATTCAACGAAACGGGAAACTAACGTCGATGCTCACCGCGAGCAGGATACGAAAATGCCAAATCTATCTCCCAAATCCACGAGCGAGAGCAATAACCGTATTCTCACCTGGATCCGCTCAGGTGCTTTGCTTCTACGAGCTCGAGTCAAGGTCACGCAACGACAAAATTCCCAACCTGTCGGTGACAATCCGCAAGAATAGATCTGAACTGGATGCAGAGACGTCGTCGCGAGGTCACGATTGGAAAGATTCTCCAACATCCGAACGTCCTACCGGTACATGGTATCGTGGAAGATCGAATGTTCGGGCCATTCGGGGCCATTGTTACGCCAGTGAGTGAATCAATCCTCTAACAGAAAGTTCTTATTGAGTATCCACAGTGGTGTCTAAACGGCAATGCTGCGCAATATCTTCACAAGCACGCCCCTTCACCACTGGAAAGATACCGTCTAGTGAGCAACGTTGCCATGGAATGAACGTGGGCTAATCCCTATGTAGTGGCAAGGCGTGGTCGGTGGTCTTGTTTACTTGCACTCTCATTCGCCGCAAATCGTTCATGGAGACATGAAACCCGTAGGCCGCCTCACATTTTGCATCTCACGATCTGATTCCCGATACCTAGCCCAATGTTCTTATCGCTGCCGATGGAAGGCCAAAGATCTGCGACCTTGACTGGTTCTGGTTGTGGTCGACGACTCTTCTTCGTCTTCTTCTGGCGACGGGTACAGCAGTGACGAAAGTCGAATGGATGCGAGATCAATACCACGACTCCGCATACGGGCACACCGCGATACCTTTGCTCCTGAGCTAGTTGATCTCAACGATCCGTCGGAACCGACAACGGCTACGGACGCATATGCTGCGGGTTGTATCGGATTCGAAGTACGTTTCTTTCTTCACAATGCACCCATCTGCCGAGTACCAGCACTAACGCGTACTAGTTCATCTACTCGGTTGTACCTTACGCTCATCGCGTGATGATAATCGACGTGGACAGATATTCCATGACATTCGCTGCGGGTGCCACCTGCCCGTCGACCACGCATCAAACGACCACGGATTCTTCCTCATCTGACAACTCCCCCGGTCGATGGTATCGACGCCTTGTGGGATATCCTCGAGTTGTGCTGGAGTCGCGATCCCTTCCGTCGTCCAACTGCATCTTCCCTATGGGAATGGTTGGATACTTACGAGAATCTTATAGTCGGTGCACTTCAGCAAGCGCCTTGACTACCCAACTGCTCAATCCTCGATACCATTCGTCGCCACCATCACAAGGCCCATTCTCCTTGTCATACTATGGCTGGACGGTAGTCGCGGTGGCTACCGGGCGAGGTTGGAGATTTTTGCTATCGCATAGAATCGGCTGTATACGATTTTGCATATGAAACCAATGGACTTTTACCATAGTTTTACTTCCCGGAGTTCTTACACAGCCAAATCCATGAAACCCGGACGATCTCATCCTTTTAATTCAAGGAAATATGATCCCTGAGATGATCAGAGCAAACTTACGATATACTCGCGTAGGCCCTTCTACCAATGATTATAGCCATATAATAACGTGTAACGAATGCATGATTGAATAATGATACAAGCGTGAAAAGGATGCTGCAGCGCCATCCTGCATGATAACCATCCGTGGGACCAATAAACTTCCGAGCGATTCCATTAATTACGCCTGCTCCCGAGCGCGGCGATAATTTCCTTGGTGCTCTAACAAGTGCTGTGGAACTGCCCTGCCTCGGGCGACCTGAATCACCTGAATCAGGCCTCCAGCACTACCGAGCGCATCCAAAGGCGCGATAACCCAAGAGGCTGGGTGAAAGGTTCGACGGGCGCTGCGCCGGTGGAAGCCCCCTGCACCGATATCTAGGACGATGCCATCGTGGTTATCGCGGTTCGTACGGCATCGTAGACCACAAGATCTACAATACAATCACTCATCAATAAGCTATTTCGGCGAAACTAGATGGGGAATAAACTGTGCTTACATCGAGGCCTATTCCTCCCAATGCGTACATATCGCCAGCTTGGGTGACGCGTACTCCACCATTTGTACCACGAGCTCTGGAGCCTGATATCGCGCGGTACCCACGTGGTTGTCGTATTCAACGCTACCGCGAGTTGCTGGTATTCGTTCATTTGGGCGCGTTCAATGCAATAGAAAGTCCGAAACCCGATCTTGGGATTGCCGTGATCGTCGATCATTATATTCTCCTTTGATTCGGTGAGTTTCACGTGGAAGACAAGATGGGTAGCCGTACTGGTTTGGTCGCCGTGGATGAAACCACGCGAATGCATGTACACAACGGCGCATATGATATCTAGCCACTAGGTTGTTTTGACTGATTAATGACCGCATCGAAGCCGATCATTTCACATACCACCCGGAAACTGCACTGCGGGTGAAGGTTTTGACTGAGATGTTTCCGGAGATTTGTCGTACCACTGGCAAATGTTAGAAAGTGCCAGTGGATTAAGATGGAGTTACCGGCATAACCAATGCCCATACTTGCCCAATTTCATGCAAATGCCGTAGACCTCTATAATGTTTTGATGGCGAGGTCAAGAGCCGTGTTCGCGTAGATTGCGCTACGAAACGTCAGGAAGCCATTC